TTATGATAAAAATATTGATTTATTGATTGAATTTCTATTGGTATCAGGCTACGGCTATTGCTAACGAGAATTCAGATAACACCTTTGAGAAAGAACCTTCCTCCTCTTAATTATGCGTTCGAAAGAAGGAAGTGGTGAAAAGCTCGCGCGGCGTTCTGACCATTTCCACCTATAAATATGCATGCGGAAAAAGTAGTAGCGGCAGCATCAGTAGTCAATTCAGTTCGTTTTATTTAGCGAGCAGTTTTGTCAGAGTGTATTTTCAGTAACGGTCATAAGTCGTGCGTGTTTACTGTCATTTTCATTGTTACGTCCAGCCCGAGATAAATATTTTTTTTGGAAAATGGATGGAAATAGGTTAGGAAGGACGCTCCAAATACCTTCTAGCAGGTGGGCGCGCTGAGGTGTCCCTACGAGTCGAACACAGAGCCACGAGTGCGAGTCAACGTCTTGAAAAAGACGCTATGACTTCGGCTGCGTGACGTGCGTCCGTCGGTCCGTAATTTAGGCAAGAGAATTTAATCTCTTTTGCCAGGGACAGGACCATGCGCGAATCTTGAGATAACGGGGAATGAAAGAGGGAAAAAATAACTAAAACGATAAATAATTTAAATTTTACATGTAATTAATAATTTTAAAAACGATTACAAGTTTAACTAACTACAAGATCCGCGTCATTATTCTTTGTGTTGAAGTACATTTACTGAAGGTATATTTACATTTAATAAAATAAAAAAAGGTGTTACGGAAATTCATGTAATATAAATGTTCTAAAAATTGACGGATGTATTATTTAATTTCTGTATACAAATTCGATTATATTTGTATGTTTGTCTACATTCTAATTATTCTTATCTTACGTGATTTAGTATTTTTAATCTATATTTGATATTTTTATCCTACGTTGTTAATCTATTTAAATCTATATTTTGTTCTGTATCTGTGTGATTGTTTCGGAGAGAAGGTCGGATTTCTGATGGTGAGGTCTAGGGGAGAAGGAGAAGGAGTCCGGAGTTCGCAGAACTCGTCCAAGGATTTCTTGGTGCGGAAATCTGGATATATCTGGAAATTAGTGTCATGGCGCTCTGGGAAGAGTGCGCTGAAATCTGGGGGTGACCCAGATTCGGATAGTCTAATCGGGGAATAGGACGGAGGAGATATGCACAATAATAGGATCTGCTGGAACAACTCGTGGTTTCTTCAGCATGTGTAAAAATCTCGGATGTCCTAAGCGAGGGATAGTTGGCTGATCGACTTGTTGCGACGATAACGGAGCCTCTTCAGGGCTCGCCTCCGTCCTCTCTGAGCATCGGAAAGAGAAGATGATGCAGATTTCACTAGAAGAAATGGATTTGGAATATGAAGGAAATGTCATTGGTCGTAAACCTTAAGGCTATCTCTGAAATATTTCAAGAAACCGAGAGATCCGACAGAGGAGAGAAATTAAGAAGGGAAAGAGAAAATTGTAAAAGGAGAGAGAAAAAAAAGAATAGATTTCCCGAATTATTCAGTGGCCATGAACCTGCTGAGTGTTCCACAACGCATAGGGAGTCAGTGAGGTTCGACGGTTGAAGCCAACAGAGAAGAAGCAGATTTTGCCGAATTATTCAGCAGCCATGAACCTGCTGAGTGCTCCGCAACGCATAGGGAGCCCGAGAGGTCCGACGGCCCAAGCAAAGAAAGAAAGAGAAAAGAAAAAAAAGGGAGTAGAAGTGTAAAGAGAACGGCAGAGGATAGAAAGGATGTAAGGGAGAAATGAGAAAATATAAGGAGAAGAGACCCAAAAACTATTATTAGAGAATTTTACTATGTGTAATCGAACTTACTGTTACTCTGGAATGCCGGAGACTTGGGAGACCTGCGAGATGATGAAGATGGAAGCGGTGTCGCCAGGAAACTTGGTCACTTGGTGAAATTATTGATTTATTTCGACTGACACTGACTGATTGGATTACTGACAACTGACGGACTGAAACTGTTCTGACCACGTGAAAAAAGGAAGTAGCAGTGCGCGCTCCGTGCCTTTAAGGGCACTATATATATATGAGATTTCGTTGAGGAAAACATCTGTACACATGTTGTTCTTCCGCAATTAGAATGATAGGGATTATCCGCTTAGCCGAATTCTAGAAACCGACCCCCGGAAGAGATCAGTTGCGCAACTGTCGCGATCTAACAGAGTAACAGAACATGTGTCTCTCGTTTATCCGCTTAATTAAATTTTAATAACTGATACCCGAAAGAGAAGAATCGTGCAGTCGTCACGACGTAACATCATCAACCTTGAATTTCTTAAATTTATAACAAATTGCTGTTTGTAATATTTCTCTTAGGAGAATTTAAATTTATTTAAGTTTAAAAGCCTCCTCTAAATAAAGGAAAGATCCGCAATATAAAATTTATAAAATTTGTTTTTTATTCGGGGCTAATTAAACCATGACAAACCAGTTGTGACAAACCAGTCTGTCACGGCTATCTAAATCTTATAATTTTTTTTAAATGAAGAAATGCATGCTATATGATAAAGATATTGATATATTGATTTATTGATTAAATTCCTGTTCGTATCAGGCTACGGCTGTTACGAACGAGGATTCAGATAACACCTCTGAAAAAGAACTTTCCTCCTCTTAATTATGGGTTCGAGAGAAGGAAGTGGTGAGAAGTTCGCGCGGGAGTTCTGACCATTTCCACCTATAAATATGCGTGCGGAAAAAGCAGCAAATCAGAAAGATAAAAGTGAAAGAGATTGAAAGAGATTTTTAGAGAAGGTCAAGATAAGCTCTGTAAAGCGTGGCGATAGCAATAGTCAGTTCGTATTATCACTCATAAATCGTACTAGATCAACCTTAGGGTCTTGAATCTTTAAATTTATAATAAATCTTTGTGTGTAATATTTCTCTTAGGAGAATT